GGGGCATGGACCGGCGGCGGTGGGGCGTGGCGCGGGGTCGCGTTGGATGCCGGGAGAGCCGCGCCGCGGCGCCGAGGTGGTGGGGGGACGCCGCAGCGCGCGGTGCCACGGCGGTGCACTGCAGCACTGCCGCGCATGCGCCCTGCGGCTCGCGCGCTGCCGTTCAAACACCGCGCTGTTTTCGCGCCGTTTTCCCGGACAACAAAGCGGGGGCGGCCGCGGGGCGTGTGACAGGCTTTACAAAAGGGTGCACCTGCACGCGTCGGCCTACCCGCGGCCTACCCGGGGAACGCCCTGGAGCAGCCACTGCGTCAGGCCGCCGCCGAGGCACAGCCGAGCACAGCACCCTCCCCTCCCCACCCGCCAGGACTATCGATCCGTTGAATTCCAGAAAATGGCGTCGTCCGAGCCGCTGCCTCGGCCGCCACAGCAGCAGGTCCGGCCGACTGGCCACTCGTTTTACCTGCTGAATTTCCCTCGAGCTCGGGGCCTCCTTGGCGTGCTCGCGGACAGGACAGTGCAAGCACGCCGCCGAGGCCCCGGGGCCCCGCCGGCCTAGCCGGCCCAGCCCCTACGAGCCGCGCCCGCGTCCGCTTGGCGCATTGCAGGTGCCGGTCGGCCAATCACGAGCGAGAGCGAGCGAGAGGGAGAGAAAGAGAGGAGGAGCAAGAGAGAGCGAGAGAGCTCGGGCGCGCGGCGGAGCCAGGCGGCGGAGTAAACACGGGCCGCGCCCCGCCGCGCCCTCCGCAGCCGGGAAGTAGTCCCACTACGACGAACGCGTTAAAAACTCGCGACCGCGTTTAAACTGGAAACTTTGACGGTTGTAGCATCGGCTTTGGTTTTCCTCAAGCACTGGAAGAGTGTTTTTGGGCCCTCGTGAGGACGCTCCTGGCGACTTCCCCGCCTTGCCACCGCCCCTCCGGCCCGCCAGCGGAGCGATACGCAGGGAGCGCTGCGGACGGAACCCGGGGCCCATTTACTCGTAGGAGTCGGTCCGAGTCAGATCCCCGTCCGACACAGTCGCTCGCTCGCCCCGCCCGCCCGCGCGCGCCCCCGCCCCGTGCCCGCCAGTCGAGTCGGTTGAGTTCCGAGAGGCAGACGGTCCCTATCGCCACGTATTAGCCATGGTGAGTGGTACTTGACGCCCTCGTTCGTCGCGCCCAGCGCCAGCGACCTCCAGGATTACGTGGGCGCTGTGGGCTGCCCTGCAAGGGACGCCCGTGTGTATGTGTGTGTGACGTTTGGGGATGTCAGAGGTCCGCCGCCCAGCGCCCCCAACGGCCCCCCGTGCTGCTGAGGCGAGGCGCCACTGCGGAGGCGGCAGGAGCGATCGGAGCAGTTTTGTCTTGTATTTATCATTTTGAGGTTATGGGAGTCTCCGCTGCACTGCCTCGCCTCGCTCTCCGCGGGTCCAGCCTCTGCGGCGTGCTGTTGCCGCACGTTTTAGGTTAGGCCGCTGGGCCCGCGGGAGAGGCGTCGTCCTCAGGCCTGGTGGTCTTTTTGGTCAGGTTGAAGAGTAGGCCGTGCGGACTCTATTGGACTTTGGCCTCTGGTTGTGCTGCGGACTGTGGTGGTGCGTCATCGGAAGGAGCAGGTGGTCGTCGGGGACTCGACAGCTCATCGGCTGCCTGCCTGCCCGGCTGTCTCTGGAATACCTAACGGATTACCTCTTGTCAACGGTCGCCCCTCTCCGCTCCACCCCCTCCTCGCTCCCGGTTCGGCCCGGCCCGGGAGCAGCTCCCCGCCCCCTGCGCCCTCAGCGCCCCGCCCCCTAGCGGTGTTCGTGGTTCTTGACCCGGAGCCTGGGCGTCGTCGGCGTCCTCGGGGTGGCGCCGCCCCATCCCCTCCCCCCCGCACGGCGGGCCGGCTCTAGGCCCTGCTGGCAGCTCGCCGCCCCCCACCTCACCCCGGCCCCAAGGACGAAGTGCTGCTGACCTGAGGCGCCAGCCCCGGCCCTGGTCGCCGCCGCCGACATCATGTCCCTCAACGTGGACCCCGCGGCCGCTGGCTCCGAGAAGGTCTGGAGCAGTGTGGCTCGCCGCCTGCCCTCGAGTGTTTTGCTGTGATGAGTCTTTTCCCACTAACCCAGCTCCTTGCCTATTAGGCAACCGGAGACTGATGAGTAACAAACTGAAACGACTAACAATCTCACCACAGAATTTAGGTTTTCAAGGACATACTGTGTGTGGAGCATTGTCATGTAGGCTAGGCTGTGTGATGTAACTCATTTGTATGATGGAATCTAACCTCTATTGAAGTATTGTGCATGATCATTCATTTGCACTTTGAGCATGATCTTTGGTTTCAGAAACTCGAGTGTTTGTATTGAGATTTGCATTGGTTTGAGTTTGACCATGAGTTTCATTTAATCTAGAGTGGTTTCATCCTGTGTTGAACATGTCACTTGTGCAGTGTGCCTAATCAGTTTTTTTAATGATCTGACTTCATGTGGGGAAAGAATTACCTGAAATGTTACTTTTAGCCATATCTTTTCACCAAGAAAGCATCATGTTCCTTTAAGATTGGAAATTATGCACAAACATCAGTGTTGATATGCGACTAATTGCACTTTCACTGCTACTTAAAGTGTAGTAACATGTTACTCTATTTACGTCACAGGCCGACCAGCTGACAGAAGAACAGATCGCTGAGTTCAAGGAGGCTTTCTCACTCTTCGACAAGGATGGCGATGGCACCATCACCACCAAGGAACTTGGCACAGTCATGAGATCCTTAGGGCAGAACCCCACAGAAGCTGAACTGCAAGACATGATCAATGAAGTGGATGCTGATGGTAACTTTTATACTTATCATTCACCCTTTATTTTTCTGTTCCCATTTATCTAATTTTCCACATGTCTTTGACAGGAAACGGCACTATTGACTTCCCTGAGTTCCTGACCATGATGGCGAGGAAGATGAAGGACACCGACAGCGAGGAGGAGATCAGAGAGGCGTTCCGAGTGTTCGACAAGGACGGCAATGGCTTCATCAGTGCTGCTGAGCTGAGGCATGTCATGACCAACCTGGGCGAGAAGCTGACAGACGAGGAGGTCGACGAGATGATCCGTGAAGCGGACATTGATGGCGATGGCCAGGTTAACTATGAAGGTAAGTCTGTCGGTACCTAAGCAGCTTGGTTGTGGTCAGTGTTGGGTGTGTATGTGTCCAGTTTGATGTTTGCTGTGCAAGTGTCTCAATCTGATCCTAAGAAGCCATTTGGTAGCTTAGTGGCGTGCTAAATGCTGGGGTACAGGGTGTGACTGTGGCAGTTAGCCATGGACATTTGCCAGATCTGTATGTTATGGGGTTAACGCCACTGAGCTTAATTTGTCTGTTGAGTACTAACTTAAATGGCTCCTGATCAACAATTCTGATCCTACTTTGTTTTCAAGACATTTGGTTTGCATTGTTTGACAAGCTAGATCTTTAGGTATGCTGTTTGAGCCTGGTCATGTTCATTTAGATGCAGTGAGCAAGGGCTGATGTCTGTTAGTGCAGAGTGCCTGGGTCGTGTTGACTCTGTTTTCTCCCCTTTTGCAGATTTCCATGCTCTTGCTCAAATAGTTTTCAGAGGGAGAGAGCTAACGCTAGTCTCTACCCCAGTCAGCCGGTCAGGCCAAGGCCCTCGGGTGGTCAGTGCTTTGAATTGGTTGGCGTTGCCTAGTAGCGGAATGTTCTGTAATGCACATATGACCCTTTCACAAGGATGGCCACACTCACGCACTGTGTGTTTTATTGCACATTATCACTTCAGCTGTCTGCCTCCCCTTAGGATGGGGTGGGTACAAGTACCCAACTCTAGGCAGTCATTAACTTCATTCATATGGGCTGCTTCAGTCTGAGTAAATTGTAAATGGAATACTTGGCTTTTTGAAGATGTTTGGCCACCCTTGTGTTTTAAAAAAATTTGGAAATTCTGTTCAAGTTGTTGGATTGTTTTTTCAATTACTGTGGAATTGCTTGTGCATTGTCAGTTACTAAAGGACACAAGATGACATCCATTGTAATTGATTTGCATTGCAATTTTATACTTGTGCATTGGTCCCTTACTATGCATCGTGCTACCATAGACCTCTGGCCTGGACCTGACAGTGCCCCTTGTAGGTCTCTCCAAAGAATTGGCAGTTTTCTTCATTGGCATCATTTATTTTTCTTTGAACTTTGCAGCTTATATTGGACTTGGATTCTGGGTGGTGTCCATGTTGCATTTTGAAAATTCATTTTAACTTACCATCCTTTTAAATTATTGGTGTTTTTCCTTTTTGTAGAAACATGTTACTTTTAACTTTGCTCGCTGTTTGTTTCAAATCATAACTTAAACATTCCTAATCAGATTAAAACAATTATTGAAGCCCAGGGGTAGGTGGAGAGGCTCTGAGAATTATAACATTTTTTACCTTTTTTCTTAGCACTGACATTTTCATAAGTTCCTTTTCAACTTTTTTCAATTTAAACCTCTTCAAACTGCATGAACATCAGTTAATCTTTCAAGGCAATAGAGAATTATGTAGGCAGCTGAACAGCTGCCAATGTTTTTCTTTGCTTGTTTGTGTAGCTGCTAATGTCTTTAGCATCTAAGTGACAACATAGGAGTCACAGCACACTGTCTTACATGGGGTGGCTGTGCTGCACCTTCAGTACCACAGTTCTCACATTTTTCCCCTGCTATGTTGATTGTCAAAGAAAATTTAAGACTTCAGTGGAAAGGCCTTTGGAGCTGTACCACTGTTTCTGATGTTCTGTTGCCTATAATTGAGAAAAGAAGGAAACTTCTAAAATGTCACTGGAAATTTGCCTTGACTTGCTGTGGCCAAATTTTACATTCCTAAGAATGTCACTCTCAAATCAAATGTGTTGTGAATAAATATTCCATTTGACTTGATTAATTGGGTGTTTGGTAGTGATCTGTTGTGCAATGTTATTTTCATTCTTTTCCCAAATATGCAGTGTCGTCAATGTCTGCATGACCTGTGTTGGTAGACTTGTGCATTGCCTGACTAGAGGATGTCGAGCTGAACAACTAAAGCCGCATTTTGAGTGTTAGGCTACTTAAATCTCATTTAATTATGGGGACACTCATTTGTGGATTTTGCTGTTCGATTTTGTAGTGAAACATTGCATGTTGCTTATTTTTGCTTCTTTCTTTTCAGAATTCGTCACCATGATGACGTCAAAGTGAAGCGAGTAATGTGATAACTCTGGAGTGAAGAACTATTGTTTACCAAGAAGGATGAACGAACCTGCCTGCATTTCTGCTTATCCATTCTGACTCTACTTGAATTGGAAATGAAAGTAGCTAAAATTGGAATGGAATTTTCATTTCGTGTATTGTGATTGTATGATCGGTGAATTTTTAAGGGGCGCAAGATATTTGTGTAAGTTAATCCTTTTTGTAAAATATTTCCAGGCATGCGATTTAAATGTGATTTTATTGGCCATCTTATGTGAAATTGTCAGTTAAAGTATTCTAAAATTTAGGAAAATACTAGTTACTGTTTTTAAACAATTACTTCCAAGTTCCGATTTACTTCACTTTTTTTCTTTTTTTTTTTGTTCTGTTTGGTTGAGGCCACTCTTATAAGGCTCGTCTTTCCAATCTGGGTTTTAGTTGTTTTTAATTAGCTTTGTGGGGATCAGGTAGGGACGCCGCCTGTCACATTCCTTCTCCATTAGGAACATTTTGAATGGGAGTTAAACTGCTCCTGCATGTGCAAAAACTGCAGTGTGTTGCAGCTGTTTGCGCAGTGCAGGTGTCTCAGTCACATTATGTATCACTTCCTCCCTCCACCAACAGTTAAAAAGTTTAAAGATTGTATTTGGTGAAATAGTTTGCATTGAATATAAATACAAACCCTACATGTGTCTCTTCATTTGTGTCTTGTGATTTGATGTTACCTTTCCACTTCTTAATGAGGAAGTTTTCTATCAACTTATTAAAATTAGCTAGTATTATGTTTGTACTTGATCATGTTGCTAGTTAAGGTAGACTATTAGATTCAAACTTCATGTGACACGAATGAATTAAGTAATTAAAATTAATAGGTGGATGATGAGCCCAGGGGACAGACCCTTCAGAGGGCCGCCATGGCTTGTCCTGGCGGGGACTTTTATTAGGATTGATACATCTTAACATTTGGTTTGAACTAATGGTGTTACTGTAGTACCTACTTTACTGCCAGTATTGAGTTCAAAATCATTTTAATTTCACATTTTAGTTGGAACAGTTTCCTGGAGAACCCGTCTGTCAGTCCCCTTTTTTTAGATTATTGTAATAAACTCCATTTTGTTTGTCTTGTTACTTGCTTTGTTAAATTAATTGCACCAAACATTCCTTGTCCAACCTGTCTCCAAAGGGCATCTCCATAGTCCGTATCCAATAATGCATGTAATGTATCAACACTGTATGAAATACATGTTGCTCTTTTAAATACTTCTTTAAATCTTTAAACCTTGGATTTAATTCCTGATGTAGCTATGGTATAGTTTCAGTGTTTTCTCTATATAATCAAACACTTTAACATATCCTGTTTGTGGTGGGGATATCCTTTGGAGAGCAGTGTAGAGTGCACACGTCTAACACAAGTTCTCCTTGCACTTTAAACAATATGAATTCGCGTTTAGATCTGTTTGTTGCTAAACACAAACTGGTGTACAGCAATTGGAAATAAAGATTCCATTTCCTCCACAGTCGATATTCTTTTCCAGTATTTAGCTGTGTTCTGATATTTGGGGACACATTCAATCCTTCCTCCACCTCTCACCTCACCCTAGCCAAACTGGCAACGCTAGTGTTGTCTGAGTGAAACAAATGTACATTCAGTGCTTAAATTTATGGAAATTTACTCGGATGCGAGTATTGTATGCAGTGGGACGTCAGACTCATGTTGAGATGAAAGTTGAGAAGAGCTCATACGAACTATCATTGATGACTCTGCAGGCCATGGCTAGGCTAGAAGGCTAGGCAAGCCGGCCGACATGACGCCTGGGAGGTAGCCGTCACGCCACGCCCAGTCCGAGCCGAGGGCCTAGGCGACCCCTGCAGGCAGGTGGTGCGCCCTGGTGGCGGCAGCGCCTACTTCGTCAGCAGCTTGGAGCAGCAACTGTGGGGAAGACAGCCGGTGTCGGCCTCTGGCGGAAGGGGAGAGAGTCTGCTTGGTACTTCCATTTCTTCGGACGTACTGTACCGGCGGGGAGAGTTGATCTCGACGGACTTCACCTCTACTAGACGCAGTACGCCGTTTGGGGAAGGGAACGCAACGCTGCTGGCTGGGAGACTTATCCGTTCCAGCCGCACACCTGGGGGTGCTTCTTACTCCTTATGTGTAGCCGCGGCCCGCATGTTCGGATTGTTCGCCCGCACCCACTCGTGGGCTTCCTGACAATAAAGTACTCGCCACGTACGAGTTCGTCCAGATAGTCCACCCGTTATTCTTAGGATTCATTCCACAAATGTAACGGGAAGCTCCGCGCCTGCGAGACTCAGGGTAGGCTACCCCGCAATTCACGCATGCGCTGCAG